AGGTACTTAGGCAGAAAGGGATTTAATATAGAAAACTTGATGTGCCTGAAATCACTGGAAGGGTGGTAGGAATGGCAGTCTGGGTTTGAGACTTCAAATTTGCAGCCCTGATTGAGCTCCAGTCTAGAGTTCGGGATGATGCCACTGTTGCTTCCCAAACTCACTTGGTCACATGGGAAGCTGCTGACCAGATGCTGATACAAGGGTGTGGCCACCTCAAACAGCTGATCTGCCTTGGTGGTCAGCTGCCAGCCAGTAGCCTTGGGCAGGTTCCCGACCCAGATTTCTCCTGTAGTGCCTTAGCTGCGGGCGAGTCTGGCTGGGCAGCCATGTGCCCAGCTGAAGCTATAGATAAAAAGGGGGAGATTGAATAGGAGGGGCCCTCCTTAATTGAAAAAATATATATAAAGACCCAGTCTCAAACCATATACATGGAAAAATGAGATCATTTGGCAGAAGTAGAAAATTCACAAAAATAAATATAATTCTATCTGGGTATTGTTTTCTTGTCAAGGCTCTAAACCCAATCCTGTTCCTGCCCTCCCTTCCCTGTTAAAAGAGGCACATCAATGTTAAAAGTGATGAAGACATGGAGCACCCAGTGCAGACTTTCTCCCAGTATGGTCTGGAAGGAGAAAGGGATTGCCATATTCACTAAGTGACAGTGTTATTGCAGACGGGTGAATGGAAATGTCTTGGCAACCACAGTGGCTATTAAGTACATGGGTTCTGTGGTCAGCTGGTCATGGTTTCTACTCTGGGGACTCCTTAGCTGTTATCCTGTGGGCAACTAATATCCCCACTCTGAGTTTCATTTTCGTTCTGTGTAAAGAGGAATCCTATATTGATATCATGATGATGTTTGTACTCACGATCCCCACCCCAAACACACTACCAGGCACAGAGTGCCTATCATGTACTAAATGTGTGTGTCCAGCCTTTTCACCCTAAAATAAGTTTGGACTTGCCAGCCCAGAGCCTAGGATGCCTGCGAGAGAGGTGGACACTCTGGAGAATGATGCTTGGCCTGTTGACCTCTATTAACCACTTCAGTACGAGCGTCGACTGTAGTCATCTATACAGCCATAGATATAGATATAGTCACAGCCATATGACTATGTAGATATAGCCATAGACTGTAGTCATCTATACAGCCATAGATGAAACGCACAGCTGAGCGTCAACTGTAGTGGATAGTCACAGATGAACTTGCACAGTCCAGCGTCAACTATAGTCGATAGCCACAGATGAACGTGCACAGCCCAGCATTGACTATAGTCGATAGTCACAGATAAACATGCACAGCCGTGATATGAAGGCGCATAGCCAAGCGTTAACTTTAGCCGACAGCTGTGATAAGACTTTTCTAATTTTTCATTTATCAAAATAAAATTGTAAACATTTAAAAATAATGTAATAAAAACATATGTATAAGTTACCTATTCTGATTTACATTACAAATAAAGCTGCCTGTAAAGTAAAACAAGCTTCAGTGCTTTAAAGCTGTCCTCATCACACAAGAGCAAAACAGATCGTGGTGAATGCACAGCACAGACTGTCGTGCAGACCATGAGTGCCGGCTGTGGGCAAGGTTTTGCGGCCGGTGAGCGCCTTACCAAAGTGGTTAAAAGCAGTTTGGAGGTGAGACCTGAGTTATCATTCTTCACCACCTCATCATTCTGACCTTGAGCGAGTGACTGAACTCCAGGCCTCAGTTTTCTTTTTCTCAATATGGAAATGAAAGCTGAATGGGAAGCACTGCGGAGCATGGCCAGTAAAGTCCGGAGCTGAAGTGATCCTTGGGCTAAGCCCCAAATGATGTGGAACAGCCTACCACGTGAAGATCTGAAGGAAATGCAAAGATCTGGGGGTGGGAGAGAGCTCAGTGTTTGAGGGAAGGGAAGACTCCCAAGGGATTCCATGTGTACTGTGTTCAATAGAATTGCTTCTCAGTGCCTCTGCTTGTGTGGCTGGGATGCAGAGGGAGAGAGGGATACAACAGCCAGGGCAGTTGCTGTGGCTGCCTTGCGGATCATTTATGAAACCTGGATGTGGTGTAGGCAGCCTCTAAGAAGGCTCCTAATAATCAACACCTGGCATTCACAGTCTTGTGAAATCTTTAATGTGACCTATGTCAAATGAATGCAGCAAAACTGATGGGATGTTCCTTCCAAAATAAGATTACAAAATTAGCCAGGCATGATGGGGCACTGCTATAGTCACAGCTGCTTGGGAGGCAGAGGCAGGTGGATCTGATCCTGCCACTGCACTCCAGCCTGGATGACACAGCAAGACCGTGTCTCTTAAAAAGAAAAAATTACAAAGACTGCCTCCATCTTACTTGCTTTTGGGGAAACCACCTGCTGTGTGAGCTCTCTGGAGAGACGCATGTGGCAAGGCACTGAGGGAAGCCAACAGCCAGTGAGGACAGAGGCTCTCAGTCCAGTTTCCACAAGCAACTGAATCCTTCCAGCAGCTGGTTGAATGAGCTTGGAAGTGGATCCTCCCCCAGTCCAGCCTTCAGATGAAACTGCATTCCAGGCCGACAAGTTTACTGCAGCCTTACAGGAGACCTTGCACTGGAGGCACGCAGCTAAAGCCATGCCCAAATTTCTGACACAGAAACAGTGATACTAATGTTGGTTTTAAGCTACTATGTATGTTTTGGAGTAATTATGCAACAATAGATAAATGCATTGGCCTTTGGGATATGAAGTCACTTCTGCCATTTTGTACCTTTATCAATAATATGTATGAGGGTCTGATGACTGATTGTGTTCACCTTTTTAAATATCCTAATACTTCACACACACTTACAAACCCGATCTGTGTTCACTGGTTGTCTTCCTCACCAGAGGCTGTCAATTTTCTTTCCTCGATGTCTCTCAAGGGCCTGGATCAGGGCCCAGTATATACTGATCTAATCAGGTCAGGTCCAGATTAAACCAGCCAAAACAGGCCATGAGTGACTGGCACCAGTCTAAACTAACCACAACAGGCTAGAACGAGCCTAAATCCGCCACAACTGACCCAATTCAGTTGAAACTGATCTAAACTGGTCAAATCCTGTTGAAACTGGTTGAAGCTAGCTGAAACCAGTTTTAACTAGTCTAAATTGGTCAGAGCTGGCCAAGACCAGCCATTACTGGCTGAGATTGATCCAAACTGGTCAAATCCAGATTAAAACAGCCAGGAATGCCTGGAACCAGTCTAAACCATCCCTGACAGGCTGGAACCAGTCTAAATCAGCCATGCTGGCCCAATTCAGTCAAAGCTGATCTAAACTGATCAAATACAGTTGAAACTGGTCAAGAACAGCTAAAAACAGTCCAAATCAGCCAGAGCTGGCCCAAGCCAGCCATGGCCCGCTGAGATTGGCCCAAAGTGTTCTAATTTGGTTAAATTCAGATGAAACCAGCCACGATTGGCCAAGACAAGTTGAAACTGGACATTACTGGCTGGAACAGGTCGAAATTGGTCTAAACCAGTCTAAACAGGTTGGAAAGAGTCCAAACTGGTCAAAACCAGTAATTTAAAAAGTATTTTAAAGTAGGAAAGTTCAGACATGCATATAAAAGAAGAAAAAATAGTATATGAATTCCCAGAAGCTTCTACCAGCTTCACCTATTTTCGGCTTGTGGCCAAATTGAGTTTAAACCAGGATTCCACTCACTTTTTGCCCTTCTCAAATTGTTTTGAAGCAAATCTCAAGACATCTTATTAGCTCACTATCAGTTAATATTTAAGTACTGATGGTTCTCATCTTATGATGGTTTGACTTAACAATTTTTCAACTTTACAATGAGCTAGTTTGGGATATTAGATGCATTGAATGATATTAAGTTACATTGACATATGATGAGTCTTTTAAAGAAACATCTGTGTCTCTTTAAAAGATAACAACCACAAGGCCACACGATGGCTCACCCCTGTATTCCTACCACTTTGGGAGGCAGAGGCAGGAGGATTGTTTTAAGGCCAGGAATTTGAGACCAGCCTGAGCAAAATAGCAAGGACCCATCTCTACAAAAAATGGGGAAAAAATAATTAGCTGGGTGTGGTGGTGCGCATTTGTTCTGCTGGCTACTTGAGCAGCTGAGGCAGGAGGATCACCTGAGCCAAGGAGTTTGAGATTGCAGTGAGCTATGATGAAGCTACTGCACTCCAGCATGGGCAACAGGCTCAGACCCTGTCTCAAAAAAATCAAAAGAGGAAAAAAATATCCCCAGTTATGAAACATCACTAGATATCTGGTTAGTGTTCAGATTTTCCATATTTTTATACATATATCTGTATACACTTTGATTCCGAATCCAAGTGAGATCCATATGTTGTGACTGGTGACAGGCCTCTGAAGTCTTTTCAAATCTAGGCCACCCCTTGGTCTCATTTTTTTCCTTCTCTGGCAGTTTATTACTTGTCTTGAGATACTTATGTCTGGATTGTATTGATTGCATTCTTGTGAGGTCACTTCACATGCTCCATGCCCTGCACATCTGCTGGTTTACATTTAACCCTTACTCGAGCCCCCGTGTGGGGTGGCATAACGATGGCGATGGCAGGGGCCTGGCTAAGACAAGTCTTAGCCCCTCCGCTTAGGGCTGTGTAGCTACATTTCCATTTTCATGTAAAATGGGCTTATAATAGCCCTTCCTGAGGGGCTGCAGAGTATCCATTCGAGTTCAAATAAAAGCATACTTGGTGAATGCTCTTTAACTTTCAGTTAGTTGTTATCGTCCCCATTTAACATATAAGGAAGGTGAGGCTCTGAGAAGAGAAATAGCTTAGCCCAGGTCATCAGCCAGGAAGCGACTGGCGAGGAGTGGTGAGCATGATGGGATGTTGCCTAGCACGAGGCCCAACACACAATATTCACTCAGTACTTGGAGCTGAGGCGGTTCCTGCTAATCAATGGGCTGCCTTGTTCTGCCTCTCAGCACAGGAAATTCCAAGGTGGTTTTCCATACAGACTCCTCTGGTTCTGTTTCTGTCCCTGGAGGGGACATAGAGGAGCCCAGGTACCTAAACATTCAAGTGAAGATGGAATTGAATATCTCAACCTGCCTGTCTGGGCCTCTCTGATTGCTGAGGGGGGCTGTCACTTGGAGTGGCCTGGGCTGCTCTGGGCCTTAATCTGGGTATTTCCTTGGGCTGGCAGTCCTCACCCTGTCTTTCAAATGGTTCTGGCTGGGCAGCAGCCTCTAGGTGGGTGAAATTGGGGATGGGTTTAGGGCGGAGACAGGACTGAGAACACAAGTTTCCTTGTGCTGCTGGAGGGGGTGGGGGCAGAGGGAAATTGGAGTCCCTATTCTCTCCTTGGTCACTCTCTTGCTCGTAGTCCACGATAGTGATGGCTTGGTCCCCAGTGTTCCTTGGTGTCATCGTCTTGCTGTCTGCCTTCCCAGGGCCTTGTGATGGGGGCCACCCCATGCCCAAGCTGGCTGACCGGAAGCTGTGTGCTGATGAGGAATGCAGCCGTAAGAGTGGGGAGGGGAGGACTGGGGGCTTGGATTTTTGGCCTGTGTGTGTGCAGTGCTGTCATTCCCTTCTATTCCTTCCCCAGACCCCATCTCTATGGCTGTGGCCCTTCAGGACTACGTGGCCCCTGACTGCCGTTTCCTGACCATACACAGGGGTCAAGTTGTGTATGTCTTCTCCAAGCTGAAGGGCCGTGGGCGGCTCTTCTGGGGAGGCAGTGTGAGTCTTGGGAGAAAAGGGGGAAAGGAACAGGGAAAAAGGGAAGGGAACAGGCCTGGAGTGGGAGTAAACTGGTTTTCCACATGAAAGGAAAATTTAAGGGGGAGAAATGAAATGGAGATGTTGGTGGGGGCGGGGGGTACTGTGACCTACTTTTTTTCACTTTGGTTAGCAATTTTAGGGCATCTACTGTGGCACCAAGTTCTGTTCTAGACTCTGAAGATATAATAGAACAATGAGCAATCCCTTTTATTCTAATAGAGGGAACAAGCAATAAGCAAGCCATCAACAATATCAGCAAGTATGTGCTGCTGTGAGAATTAATATAGAGCGACTGGGTGGCTACTTTATATCAGGTGGTCAGAAAGGGCCTTTGAGCAGGCGGGGTGGTGGTGGTGGTGGTGGGATATTTAAGCTGAGATTCGGATGACAAAGATGGAGCCAGCTATGTGGAGATCAGGGAGAAGAGAGAGTGCCAAGGCTTTCAGGACAAATGAACTTGCACCTTTCCAGACCTTGGCTTCTAACTCCTCTTCCCCAGGTTCAGGGAGATTACTATGGAGATGTGGCTGCTCGCCTGGGCTATTTCCCCAGTAGCATTGTCCGAGAGGACCAGACCCTGAAACCTGGCAAGATCGATTTGAAGACAGACGTGAGTGTCATCAGGTCTGGCAAGAATTTGGAGGGAGGACCCTTGGGTTGTGGTAATGGGCAAAGATGCTCCTACCCTTGGCTTCCTAGGTGTATGGAAGGGACAAATTCTCTCCCTACCTCAATTTTATTACTACCTGTAAAATGGGTCCAGTTTGGAGGCGCAAAGATTAAAGGGCTTCCGGCTAATTTGCATAGACAGCACTTGTGTGGGCAAACCTTGCCCCTGCGGCTACAGTCTTTGCTAAATAAAAGCCACTAGGTCCTTTGTGGTGTAACCGTTGGTTTTTTCCTCCACTGTTTCCCCTTTCTCTTTTTCAGAAATGGGATTTCTACTGCCAGTGAGCTAAGCCTACCGCTGTCCCTGCCGTTTTCCCTCCCTGGCTTTATGCAAATACATCAACCGAGTGCAAACTGCTCGTGGCTGTGGTCTTTTTGGGGTGGGAGGGTGGGGAATGTACAAAGGAAATAATTCTCCAGGTTCCTGAATCGAGCCAATCAACCCACTGAATGTGGTAACGTCACTGGTTGCTAGGCAGAAGTGTTACTGATAAAAGCCTTCGCTCCAAGCCGGGTACCGGAGGTACAGGAGACGGGCTCCTTCAGCTTAGATCTTAGACACAGCAAAGGAGAACCTGAACAGCACAACCGGGGGACTGTTCCTCCCGTTAGTCTAGAGACGACACTACAATGAGCATGAGCCAATCGGACCATGAAGAGGACACACATCGCAGAGCAAAGGTTTCCTTGAAAGATTATCTGCAAAGGGAGGTGGGAAGTAAACTGTACGTATTCCCACCCCGCCGCTCCCCAATTTTCCTCCTTCCTGCCTTTGAGGCCAGTAATCGCTCTCACCTGCTCAAGATCCGCCGCTCTTCTAGGCTCTGTCAATCCTGCCCCTGCCCCCTGCTTTGCATTCGTATCCCCGCCCCCTTGTCCTCTCCTACCCAATCCGGACACTCGGCTCTGTCCGCGTACTCTCTACCAAATCCGTTCCTCCGCTCCGCGAAGCATCTCTACACACTCCCTTCCTACTTGCTCAGCCAATCGCTCGTCTTGGTCCCGCCCCTTTTGACTCAGCCCCTCTCTCGCCACCAATCGGCGCCTCTTGTCCCGCCCCCCTCCCGCGAGTCCGCCAATCCCTCCCTTTGGTAAGCGTGGCCTGGTATCCCGCAGCCTTAGCGGGTCGCGCCGGAGGGGGGTGGAGACGGAAGTGGCGGCGCCCGGCCCGGGGAGTAGGAAGGAGCCGGGGCTGCAGCCGGAGTGGAGCGGCTGCCAGCCGAGGAGAAGGCGCGGCTGCGGCGCCATATTGCGGCCCTCAGCGGCCGCGACCGAGTCATGGCCGAGACCTACGGTGAGGGTGGTGGGTCGAAGCTAGGGTCTGGGGTCTGGGCCCAGAGAGGATGCGGCCTGCGGAAACGGGGCGGGGCTTTATATACCAGGGGGCGGGGTCTGGTGTTGGGGGCAGGGCCTAAGTGGATGCTGGGAGGGGTCTAGTAGGTCTGGGGCTGAGCTTAATCGATTTGGGTGGAGCCTGAGGGTCTGGTGCATGGGTTCAATAGATCTGGGATGGGATTTGAGGGAACCGGTTTTCAGGGGTTCAGGGTAGGTCTTGAGGGAAGAGGTGGGCCTTAATGTATTGGGGCGGAGCCTGAGTGAATGGGGCGGGGCTGGCTGTGAATGGCAGAGGTCAACCTTGAATGGATGGATGCTCTTGGAGTCTGGACCCTGGGGTGGATCTGGCTTGAGAGGTCTGGAATGAGGTTGGGAATGGATTGTCCTCGAATTAGTGGTGGTACTTGGTGGCAGGGAGTGGGACTTAAGAATAGGGGCAAGGTCCTGGGCAGAGAGAGGGAAGGAGAGGTTGAGAATTGGAAAATCAGTGTCAAATCATGAAAAATCATGTACAAAACGAGGTCGTAGTTGTGGGGAAGTTCTGATTTAGGTGTCATGAGGAGCTCCCTTAATCAAACAAATATACAAAAGTGGAGGGAACAAGGGCAAAGACCTTGAGGTGAGAACGAGCTTGTCATTTTCAGGGAATAGGCTGAAGGCCAAGGGCTGTAGTGGAATGAATGAGTTAGAGGATGGTAGGGGGTAAAGTCAAGAGGGGCAGGGGCTAGGTTGTAGTCTTTGATTAAATGGGTTTGAAGAACTGTTAAATATAATAGCTAAGAATTGGACTCTGGAACTCCTTGGCCTGGGTTTGAACCTAAGCTCTGCCTAACTATGTGACTTTGAGCAAGTCAGTTAACCTCTTTGCTCTCAGTTTCCTGGCCTGGAAAATGGGTATAATTTTTAGTTTACCTTCCTCATAGAGTTTTCCTGAGGTTTAAGTGAGCTGTTAATATAAGTAAAGACTTGCCTGGCCCATGGTAAGCACTATATAACAGTTATCTGTTACTTTTGTCTGTTGTTTTATTTCTGCCTGTGTCTGTTTCTCTCCCTTTAACTGCGATGGCCTTTCCATCTTTTTTCCTATCATTCTCTCCCTGATTTTGGCTTCATCTGGTCAGACTTCCTCTTCAAATTCCTGGTGATCGGCAGTGCTGGAACTGGCAAATCATGTCTCCTTCATCAGTTCATTGAGAATAAGTGTGAGTTTCTGGTGGTGGTCCCGGGAGCACTGAGCTGTGGTGATGGGCATGGTGTGGGCAGGTGGGCAGCTGGTGGGGTGGGCAGGGCTGGCCATACGTACAACTCCAGTGCTGGCTTCTTGGTCCTTGCCATGGTGTGTGCTTCTTGCTGGGTTCTCCTTGACCTCAGTCACCTCAGCACGGGGAATGGGTTCGTAGAGACTGAGAAGGCCTTGGAGGATGGGGGATCCTCTGAGCCCCTGCTTTGCCTCTTTTCTCCCTCCCATTCCCAGTCAAACAGGACTCTAACCACACAATTGGCGTGGAGTTTGGATCCCGGGTGGTCAACGTGGGTGGGAAGACTGTGAAGCTACAGATTTGGGACACAGCTGGCCAGGAGCGGTTTCGGTAGGTGGGCTGGGCTCCTAAGGAGGGTGGGAAGGGGGCGAGAGGGAGATACGTGGAGAGTCACTCAGAGACACTGAGCGAGAGGGCAGACAAGGCAGAGGGAGAGAAACAGAGACCATGGTTGTCAGGTATGTCTAGCCAAAGATAGAGGGGGTCTTGGAGAGATAAGGAAAAAGACAGAGAAAAAGAGAGCAAGTGAGGCTTGGCATGGGGTGAGTGGTAGAGATTGAGAGACACTAAAACAGAAAGAAAAGGGGAAACTTGAAAGAGAGGCACACACTCATAAAGGGAATGAGAAAGAGAGACAGAGTGAGAGAGATGAAGGGAATCATAAAGGAGGTGAGGAGATGCAAAAAGAAACAGAAGTTAGAGGCAGAGAGACAGGGAGAGTCGGACAGGTATATCCAGAGTCATGGAGAAATGGACATATTGTGGAGAGAGAGAGAGAGATGCGTGGGTCTTCAGGAAATGTCTGCAGAAAAGTTGATAGACACAAAGAAACTTTGAGAGAGGGAGTTTGAGAAACAGAGACAGAGAGCAGGAGAAACAAATAGAGAATGGAATCCATGGAGAAGTGTGATTCCTGGGCAGCACTTAGTAGCTGCTAAATTAATGCTCATGTGTTGGTTTCCTGCATGAGGTGCATAGAGCCCAGAGACAGAGAGAGAGGGTGAAAGAGAGACAAGAGTGTGACATGGGCCGGGTCCACAGTAAGTGCACAATAAATGCATGTGGAGTGACTGCATGAGTTCCAGAGGGACTCAGACTGGTGAGACGGGGAAATGCAGAGAGTTGGCTACGCTGGGAAGGGGCCTGCACCCCACACAGCAGGAGAGGGACTGGCAGATGCTGCACAGCGCTTGGCCAGGCAAAGGGGAAATGCTCAGAAAATGTTGAATGAATGAGCGCATGAATGAATAGGAAGGCAAGGGTGAGGACAAGAGAGCCAGAGCCAGAGTGACAGAACTGAAAAAGAGACAGAGCGGAACGGAGAATAAAGACACACATAAAAAAGACACAAAGAAAGAAACCAGTGAAGAGATACAGAAAGACAGGGACACAGAGACAAGGGCAGGGAGACTCACAGAGGCAGGCAGACAACTAAGAGACTGTAAGGCAGAGAGAGGAATTGTGTGGCAGCTAAACCAAAGCCAGGTTTGGGGGGATGGGCCGGCAGGGAAGGGGGGCCTCCGAACCACCAGTCTCTCTCCGCAGAGGGGGGCAGTCTCGGGGCAGACCCCAGCCTTGGGGGTGACTGGGTCCCCCTGGCCCCACAGGTCGGTGACACGGAGTTATTACCGAGGGGCAGCCGGAGCCCTGCTGGTGTACGACATTACCAGGTGGGTGTGCGGAGGGGATGGGACCGGGCGGGGCATGGTGGCCGCTCTCCCGTGCTGCCTCCCTCCTGTCTCCTCTCTCCACAGCCGGGAGACGTATAACTCACTGGCTGCCTGGCTGACCGACGCCCGCACACTGGCCAGCCCCAACATCGTGGTCATCCTCTGTGGCAACAAGAAGGACCTGGACCCTGAGCGGGAGGTCACTTTCCTGGAGGCGTCCCGATTTGCCCAGGAGAACGGTGAGAACTGTGCGGTGAGCCAGGTGGAAGAGGGGGCAGGCGGTCCACAGGGACTGTGGGTCTCCTGGCTCTCAGTGGCTGTGCCCAGTAGGGGGACACGGAGGTTCAGAGGTCTGGGTTCAGATCCTAGTGTTGCTACACATAAGCTGTGTGACTACTCTGGTCCTCAGTTTCCTCGCCTGAAAAGTGGGATCATAATATTTCTGCCTCACAGCGAGCTATGATGGTGAAGGGACATGTCCGTGGAAAGCCTTCCATACCCTGATAGGAAGTGAGGGCTAGATTTGCGTTGGCTTCTAAGAAGGTTTCCATAACCATGAGGAGGCAGCTCAGGGCATTGGTTTAACGTGGAGATTGTAAACTCAGATTAGCCTTGGTGGAAGGCACAGTTTGTGAATATGGGAGATAGGATGGGGCTGATCCCAGGATAACAGGCACCGTTGCTAAGGGAGGTGTACTGACAGCCCATGCCAAAAGGTTTGCAAGAATCAACTCATTTGAAAACATTGCGTTGGCCAAACCAGTCATATCTGCTGGCTGGGATCTGCCTCCTCCGTTTAGGAAACTCCAGGTTTAGAGGAAGTTTTGCCATCAGAGACATGTGGGTTTGGATCCTGGCTCTAATTTACTTACTGTGAGGCCCTGTCATGTAACTGATGAGTAGACTGTGGTGGGCCTGTGCTAGATGGAGCTGGGGACACAGTGGTGGAGACAGCCCTAGGCCTGCGTGGCCCGCGTGGGGCTCACAGTTCGGCAGGTGGGCGTGGAGAGTCAGACCCGTTTCCAGATAGTGACAGCCCAGTATGGTCAGGGCTGGATGGAGAAGCACAG